TATTGAACGGTGACCAAAGGCAAAATTGGGGCTGATAAGAGGAAACATTGCGTTTAATGGTTTCCAGATGATGAGAACAATGTACAGTAAGGGCACAAAGTGTGAGATTCATAGAAAAGTTTTCCTAAGAATATTTCCAATCCTTTTCTCACACAAGAGAAAATGGGTTAGGGGGCGTTGGGTATAACTTTATGGAACAAAGGGGGCGGTGGATCGAAAAAGTTTGAGAATCACTGGGCTAGAGGATAGGCATTGTATTTGGTAGCAAGGAGTAGATCTTGATGAAACTGAACTCATCTGGTAAATCTTTCATTAAATTAGGAGGGTGGACTGGAGAATTATTTGTGGCCAAAAGAATCTTCAGTGGAAGATCCTTCTCCCTGAACTAATAACAGACAGTGAGGACCAAACACCTTAGTCACCCAGTCAGAAAAAACACCTCTGATTAGAATGTCACAAAACTCCAATTTTTCCTGATGTTTTTAATAGCTCTGGGATTCTCTAAATGGTATATCAACAGTAGTTTGACCTTGCAATATTCCAAAATATTGGCAAAAAGAGGAATGTAAACCAGCTTTTCATTGACTTATAGTCTGGCAAGATGGTCACTTCCTTTGTGATATATGTTCTGGAAGACATTCTCTTCTATAAAATGCCAATTTTTGTTGCAATTAAACACCTATTGGGAAACAATTCTTCCCTCCCCAATTATTTTTTAAAATTTCTCAATGGTGCTCAGCAGTGTCCCTGTCTGCTTTAAGGCTCCACCACATCTCACAACACTTTGTAATCCTTTTCTTAAATCCAGTAAACTACTCCTTGGTGCCAAAAACTCCTTTCCAATATCAGTTCTTGTACTAGAAGCCATAGTGTGAAGTTCTTTAAATAATTAATTGACATTTTCACAAATCATCATATTGACACTATCAGCTGCCATTTGTTTTTCATTAATCCACACTAATAGAGTTTCCATTTCTTGATATTACTGCTTAACTTAGAGAGTCCTTTCAGAACCTGTGCTCCTTTTTTTTTCTTTTTGTAAATTGTACTGATCATTGATTTGATTATACCATATTCAGGTTTTAGATCTCCCACACTTTTTCATTTTCTTGCTTGGAAATATCACTTTTAATGTCTAAGTTAATTAGCATTTTCACTCTATTTTGCTGGCTCATAGCTGAAATTATAGAATAGAATTAATTGCTAACTGATTAATAACTGATATTGTATGTAAGGTTAAATTAATCTGTTAACAAAGATGGCAACTGAGGCTGTAGTCATAGCAGGAGGGCCTTGACATGACATGCACGAGGTGCTTCATCAACCAAAAGTATTCTTTAACATTTATTGTAGCATTCTGATTGTACTGATGATAACTGTTTATTATAACATTCATTTGCTATAGTAACCTGACTGTATAAAGTTGCCCCCCCATAACACTGTTGATTATTCCGTTTTATATGAATTCCATGTTGTACGAGTCACTTAAATTTTACAAATACGTGAGCCGTTCATAGCCCAGCACACGTATTTGTAAAATATAAATGATTCGTACAACATGGAATTCATATAAAACGGAATAATCAACAATGTTATAGGGGGTCGACTGTATAATTATTTTAATCGAAATTATTTACAAACTGACTTTTCAGAAAATAATTCAAATAATAATAATTTACTTATTATTTCCATTTTTAATTACAATCAAAATTTAATAATCTGTGTTAAGTATTATTTAAACTTATATTATTTGAATTTATATTTATTTAATCTGGCTGTGAAAAATTATTATAAGAAAGATAAAAATTAAATAATTTAAATAAAGTATTTTTAATTAATAAGTGAAATTGTTGAGTTTAAATAATTAAGAATTATAATACTTAAAATATGCTTTAGTATTGATGAGATAATTGTAAATAACAGTTCAAGAGTTATAAGAAAAATGAAAATCGCATATCTTTAATTAAAAATAATAAAAACATGTTTAAAATACTAACGCTTCTATATTATATTATGTAACGTAATAGAGAATATTTTATTAGGAAAGAAATGTATACTCTACTATCGTGCTGTCTCCGAAATCTCTCTTCATATGAAACGAATTTATTTATAAAACATTACAGATATGTTTTTTAAAAAAACCAATTAAATTTAATTATTATTACATAATTTCTTTACGTTAATCTTATACGTGTTAGAGATAATATTAGTTAAATTTTACAATAGTTCACTTACCTAGATTTAATAATTTCTTCGATTAATCGACTAATATCCTCTCCAGTTACACTAGCCAAATGTCCATCTCTTTCTTGACACCATAAATCTGCTTCTATCCACGATAAAGGCTTATCCGAAAGACGATAACAATATCTTTCTCCAGAGATCCAACCATACTCACAGGATGTATAATTAGCATTCACTATCACGGCACGATAATTTATGCAGATACCTCCCAAGTAGTCTGCATATAATGGAGTTTGTATGGACATGATTAATTCGAAATTATTACCTATGGAACGATAACTTGGATATTCATCGCTTCCCGTCCAATTACCACATAGAGTTGCTAAAACACTATTACTCGATTTTAGTATTACGTAATCTTGATCACAAAACGTAGATTTATGTGAGCTTGAAGTTACTATCCTAGTGAATTGCACTTCCAATTCGTATCCTAAAGGCACGTGAAAAGTGTACTTGCAATTACGATCGACATAGTAACCACTTGTGCATACATCACCTGTAGAATTACTGATTGTGGTATTGATACATGGACTCATTTGCTTGTAAGAGAAACGATACCTCATTACAGTAGTTGTAACGTGATAATTAATGTTTAAAATATTACTTGAAGATAGATAATTTATTCTATTGACATTATGACATATAGTCATCTGTCCTGTTCTATATACAGGTGATATCTGTACATAATCCTTATCACAGTTGTTCAAATTTCGAAAATATAATTCTTCAATAGTTAGTACTATCTTAGAATTGGAGGGTGTTACAATTCTATCGCTACAATATTGATTAGGTATATAATAACCAGGATAATCTGGACTGGTAATCACACCTTTACTATTCTCATATGTTCTATTACAATCTGGAAAATAAATTTATAATTATTATATTATAACTTTCTTATTAATAAAATAACAATTACAGGTAAAGTAATTAATAAGAATAAAAATTATTTTAGAAACTTAGATCTTAAACTATATTATTTGTAAAAATATTTTAAAATTTTATTTAATTCTTAGCGATAAAAATTAAAATAGCGGTTGTTCTTAACTTTAAAAATTAAAAATTTTTCTTCTCTAATTTAAAACATAATTAATATCAATAATAATTTGTATATTTAAGTTCCAAATATTTGCGAGATATCGTCATAACTTCAATGATTAGTTGATGTAGAATTTATATTTCTCTTTTCAAAATTTTATTATTCAAGATCATTGTAATTATGACATATCTTAAATGTGATTATAAGTTATATAAACATTTATAAAATAAGATGTAAAAATATTTAATAATTTAATATTAAAAAATTAGATTATTATAACATCATATTTCGTGTAATGTCATTTTGATTGACATTTTTTAATAACTAAACATCATAGAACAAACATATCACTTAATACAATGTTTTCCGCCCGATGTTTATATAGGAAAAATTTATATTTGTGTCAATACAACACTTTAAACGAAACGATTTGTCGAGTAATTTTCAAATTGCATTCCAAATACAATTGATAGAACGTCAGAAACACAAGAAAAACGCTCCGAGTGTCAACAAAAGAAATGCCCGTCTCTAATGCTGTGCTGAAAGTATTACAGTGCCATATAATACCAATAACTTTTCATAACAAAAAACCTTAACATGCTTTTGTGACATCACTAACAGTAGTAAATAAATTCTTCAATTTATAGAAGTATCAGAGAATGTATCCCGTGTTTTCATTATAAAGTTTTATTTTCATTTTTTCTGAGATAAATCTCTTTTGTTACTGCTGTCTTATTTGCTCAATCTTATTGTAAACGTTATGTTTATGGTATGGCATTCAGACTGTAATGTACAGTACATGCTACTGCATACAAAACAACTGTTAACAATCATAGTAGCGTTTGATTACCAAGAAGCGCTGTTTTAAGCATTTTATATTTAGCAGCCCATTAAAATTGCTACACCATAAACGCTAAATTTGCATGAAAGTATACAAATATACCTCTGTACCTCAAGATTATTTGTCAATTTAACTATGTCTTTCTACCATTATACTGTATGTGTACAACAAACATAATTCTGTTATTTGCCTTCCTTCCTGGTGTAGCAATTTTAATGGCTAGCAGTGTAATATGATGTTTTAGGTTAATTTTATAACACAATTTTTCCCATTTAAAATAGTGGAAATAGACTATCAAATAGTATTTTCTGTTCAGGTGTACCTATTTGAATTTTTCATATTCATAAGAAATATATTAAATGTCATTGAATTAAAACCACTTGTAGTTATTGAATTATTAGAGTAAACAATAAAACTAAATATTTAATTTATAGCGTGAAATAAGAATTAATTTAAAAACTACATTACAATTATTAATAATAATAATTGAATATATATATATATATATATATTATTTCAGATTCTAACAATTTTCTAATCTATAAAAATACTGTAAGCACAGAAAAGAAATCGTTTAGAACGTGACAGTTTAGATGCAGGATATGTTAACGAATAAATTTTAATATAAAATATAGAGAAGAACTTTTATGAGTTTAAGGATACAGTGACAATTTAGAAATAATTTGTATGCAGGAGAGAGAGAGAGAGAGAGAGCAACAGTAAAAACTACTAACAAGAAAACTGTCTTAGACGTATGCTGGCTGACAATATGCTCACTAAAAATTTATTTTTCTGATCAACTTTTATCGCACTTATGTATAGAAATAAGTATTTTGTTTTTAATTTTTTTATTTGCTGATTTATTAAATTATTAGTTAATATTCTAATCTTTCAAGAGTTTCTAATGTTTTCTACTTTAATCTAATAATAATTTTCATAAATTTTAAATTATTAAATATTACAAAATACATTTTAATAGTAAACTAAACTTCTTATATTTATATATTAATTTATATTAAAATTATTTGTTTAGTAATCAAAATAAAATTTAAATTTAAAATAAAAAAAATTATTTAAGTCACGCAAATAAAATAATTTTGTATAAATTTAAAGTTAACGAATTAAAAATAAATATGGTTTTGTTAAATTTTAATTTATAAATTTAATAAAACGTGATTTAAACTGTATAAAAATAAATTTTTAAAGATAGTTATTATGCAAAATTTTCTATTTTAGTAGAAATTTTAAATAATTTATTAAGTTATATCGCATCTTCAAAAAGTAATTTGTCGTATTCAAAAATCATTATGAAATGTTTTTTTAAAATAATATTTATCATTATTAAAAGTTTAGGTATTATGAATTTAACTTAAATATAACGTTTTAATTAGAAAAAAAATATATAGACGTTTTATTATATTTATAATGATTTTACATTAGAGATTTAAGGAAAATTTTATAAATAATTGAAATCTGTAGAGAATTATAAATATATAAAAAATACTTGAACTTATTTATGATTGTTGGTTACAGAGATTTTAATATTTGCGAAGATTATGAAGCGAATAAGCAACACGACTATTTTCGATAAAATATTGTGTAACAGAAACCTTCGCTACAACAAAACATAATCTTAGATCGAAGAAAATCATTATATTGGCAATTTATACGTTTTATTTAAAAAGTATAACAATAAAATAAAATAAATAACTTACGTACATGCATTTTTTTTCCGTTTTTTACAAGGCTTCTTATTCATTTAATCAATAAATGATATAAGAAACAAACCTTTAAAACTGAGAGTAGTAGTAGTAAAACTAATTATAAAAAAGCTTTACAAAATAAATATGAATTTTTATAATAATTTGGTTTGTAATTATAAAAAATAATCATATTAATTAATTTTAAATCCCGCCGGATTTCAAAGTGCTTTATCATCTGGATAGAACATCACATCATCATGAAATTACTTATAAAATGTTACTTACATTTCAAAGTTTGAGGTTGACCTACAGATGTTTATCACCGAACTTCCAATAATGCTCCAGTGACGTCCAAAGACTCTTGCACGTTTTCGGAATCCCAAAATTGCACATTGACGATGCGGGGGAGTGTGCAATATGGAATACACTCATTTCACCTCAGGTGAGACGATATTTAGCCGAACAGTTTGGTGAGCGATGGGTTGATCGTAGGGAACCCATTTTTGGCCCGCAAGGTCTCTCCATTTTTGAAGCTCTGTGGGAATGTCAAAACTAAAGTCTACGCTTAAAATTCCTGCAAATTTGTATGGATGCAACAGTGTTTGGACGTCACTGGAACACCGTTGAAGATCTGGTGTTGAACACCTGTAAGTCTCTGTCAAACTTTAAAGTATAAGTAACATTTTACAAGTTATTTCATGTTGATGTGACGTTCCATCTAGACGATATGGTACTTTGAAATCCGGTGGGATTTACAAGAAACATCCTGTACATTAATTAATTATTAATTTCGAATAAGATAATTGTAAAATAAATAAAAATTATAAATTTTTCCTTAATTAGAATACTCATAATTTTTCAGTTTTATTATTAATTAATAGTTTTTCTTATTGTACTTAATTAATTAAGAAAATATTAATTAAATATCGATTGACATTGGATTTAAGAAGTAATGATTCATTACATAAATTAGGTCTGTATAATTAAGGTGGAGAACGAGATCGGCCATTACTTACAAATGAATTGGTTATTGAAGATTGCACTGAAACTACATCCTTCTTCACAATTATTAATTCTGATCATTAAATACGGACCGTGAGAGATGAAACGTCGATGAGGTAAATCGATATTTTTTGGCGTAAAATATTTTCCTGTACCTTGAGATTCTGTATCAATAGCAATAGAGGAATGGTCGGAAAGATGAATTTCCTGAAACTGAACAGTAAAATATTATTGAAATTCTGAAAATTAATAATTAATATTAAATAATTATGTTAGATTTATGTTTTAAATTATATTTAAAGATCTGTTAGCATATCAAAGGAGCTTAATATGCTAACAGAACTTTAGATAAAGACCACTCTTGATATTGACGATGGCGATTCATTGATTCCAAATCGTTGTACCATTAAACTAAAGAGACCATATAACATACAGAATCATAAAAATGGATAACAGTTACACAATAAAAACATACATTCTTATCAAAACTGAATAATTATAATGTAAAATATCTTTAGAAAAAAAAGTAGATAGCAAATCAATATTTGCGTTATAAAAAGATTAGAAGGTAATTTAACTGTAAACGAGCCATTTACGGCATCATTTCTAGTAATAGATAACATAATCTGAATTAATGTATTTTTGTCTCATCTCGTTTATCGATTCTTTTTTATTCCTATTTTTTTTTTGAATTAATTCGTATTGAAAATATTAATAGAGAAAATCGAGAAAATTTCTGAGTTATCCGATCGAAAGTTAATTTGTAAAATTTTATTAATAACTTGATACTTTCATATGTAAATAATATAAAAATATTGATGGATTTGAATAGATTCAGTTAGAATAGTTTAGACATTTCATAAGTAAAAACGTCCAGGATAAAATCTTGAAAAAACAAACCCAATATTTTAATCAATGTCTTATTTTTGTATATGCAATTTTTCTAATTAGATTTACTCTTAAAATCTCAAATTATAGTTATAAGTTGTGGACTTATAAATAAATATTAATATTTATATATTTTATAATTAGCACTCTAAAAAGATTTTACAAGTTGACATCATTCTAATGAATATAACATGAAATGAATTGGTAAAACAAACAGTAACAAATGAAATGAAAGAGGAAGAAAAGAGAAAAATTTACTTTTTTTTAGTACAAATTTAAAATAAAATTTATTATTTTTTCTAACAAATTAGCTTGAATGTCACGTAAAAAAATATTGTATTAATAAAATATTTTTTGAAATTTTGATTTTTTCCAGTAAAAAAATTCAAAAATAATAAATAAGAGATACAAAAATTTCGAAATTAATTTTAAATTTAAGAACGAATTGGATTTGATTATAAAATAAAAAAAGAAACTTGAGAGAAATGAAATCAACATTTATGAAGTAAAGATAATCCATTTAATAATCTAATAGAAGAAACATTAAATGAACAAAATTAAATATTAGAAACAATAGTTTAAGGCTTTACAAAAGTATAAAAAAAAGTTTAATATTTATCTTAATTAATGTCGAGAAGAGATCTTTAAAGAATATTGAAATATCTCCATTCTTAGTTCAAAATATTAGTTACGAAAAACACACACAAAATACCCCATGATGACTATTCAATATTAACAAGAGAAGAACAAAGTAAATTACTATTTGCTTTTAAGGTCGAAAACTTGTAACTTAGATTTCTTCAATTCCTCGAACATATTGCTGACTATCATTTCGTTCTATTCCAGATAAAGCTCGAGTATAAGAATAGCTTTATGTTGTATTTATTGTAGAGATATCTTTCTCAACGACATCAAAAGTTTTTTATTTTGTTGTTCTATAAATTATTAAGTGTTAAAGTCAAAAGTATTAGAAGATCAAAAGCTTTCTATATAAACTTAAGCACAAATGACCGAAATAAAGTTTCTATGATGTATATATGACATAAAAAAGAATTAGTGCCAAAGAACGTGATTAAACTGCATTTCTCTATCATTCTTATAAAGTCGATGGACGTCTTATACTTTGAGGTTGAATAAATGAATTAACATCTTCAATAGCCAGACTGAAATAGTTTTGAAACAATATTTTTAAAATATAAAAAATGCTATTGTAAAATTAAAACATTTTATATGACACTTAATCATTATTTTATATTATACAATATACGAATTCTAAATATTTAAAAAAATGAAAAACTTAAAATAAAGTAATTAAATTCTTTATAAAATTTTGATTATCTTTTTTTTAATTATAGACTTTAAATGAGGAATTTAAAATAAGCTTTTAATATTTGATTTCGATTTTAGTAGTGACTTTCCCCTGTACATCATACTTCTCCTGATAACAATCGAGTGATGCCTTTCATCTATCTAACTTCGTTCTTCAGATTAAGAGCAGACACCCAAACAGATGGACAACAATGTAATTTGAAAATTGAAGCCCAATGATGTAACAAGACTTTCTAGCAATTTTCTTGAAGCGTGTATTTATAAAATTACATATGTTGCATCGTAGTACATTTTTAAATATAAATAACTAATTTATAAATAAAAATTGAATAACGAATTCTTTCATAGATAAATAAATTTTAAAGATTTAGAAACTTGACTAATCTCATTAATATAGACGAAATTTCTCTTTGTGTCAGAAACACAAAAACTATTATCTTTCATATATTCTGCTAGATAGAACTTAGAGAATAAGTAAATAAATGCTCACTATCAGAAGTTGAAGTTTCTGATGAAGGGAGAATCTATTACCATCTTCAGATTTAATGCTTCTGTAACTACTAAAGGTTCTCAGTCAGGTAGACCTTTAGTGGTTAGAGAAGCATTAAATCTGGACATGATACCATCTGTTCATTAAATCTTCTGATTCAAAAGCATTTATTAATTCGTGGCGTATAAAGAGAAAGCTATTTTCATATGATATTAAAATAATGAATAAGTAAATATTCTGAGAATTTTTAAACTTATGTTTTGAAATCTTTTTAAACATTAAAAATAAGATAAATTCATCGATTAGTTTCCCTTAAATTCGAATGATAAATTTAGTTTTAAATTAAAGTATAAAATAAATTAGTTTATATCATAAAGATTTGATGATTTTAAATTTAAACAACTTTATTAGGCTTAATTTTGAGGGTATGGATGTGTTTTATAAAAAGTTGTAAATGTTAATAACGAGTGAAACAGTCATTAAGTCCGACCCCCTTGATCTTGACCTTTAATCACCAAAATTTAATAGCATTAATCCCCCTAATAAACAAATCTCCCTACAAAATTTCAGAAATTTTCGACAAAAAAGCATTGGAGTTATTAAACTTCAAACAGGGTGAACGAATTTGTACTTCCTCACACACACACACAAAAACACTAACATCCATACATACTGTACAGAAAAAAACCCGGAATTTTTTTGCATTTCTCGACAATTGAAGGTTCCCTGAGTCTAAAAACGTAAAAATTTGGTGTGGGGTCAATTTTTCAAAGATCGCCATAATTTTCCCTCTTATATATAACCGGGCCGGGAAAGTAAAAATAGCGACTCGTTTCATTCAAACTAATTTAGTTTAATATATTTACGTATATGTTTGAACTTTATAAAACAATCAATCGAAAAGATATGAAACTATTTTAATATTAAGCCTTTTCGTGCTACTTTAAATGTAATTAATTTTTGTTTTATATGAGAAAAATATAAAGCAATATAANAGAAATGATACACGCAATTCAATATTTATATTTTCTATTTATTAATATTATATGACATTATACAGTCTCGTGCACACCATATTAACAATATATTATATTACGTGAGATGGTTCTTACAACACTGCTAAATAAAATTGACCTTTCATTACATGCAAAACATTCAATAACAATCGAGATATAAAGAAAATATGGTTATTGATATAGTATTTTGTATCATTTTGGCTACAATGAACGTAAAAGTAATAAAAATAGAATAAAAATTACATTGGAAACAGTGTTATACAACATTTAAACACTGGTCGTAAGCTACAATTATCATTTTCATGTAAAAGTGACTAATATATGTATATTGTTTCGTATAACTATTTAATTTTTAAACTAGGAAGAAGAGAAAAAAAATCGTGTATGAGTTTTAAACTGTGTCTTGTATACGTTCTAGGATAACAAATTCAACAAGTCTGGATATCTTTGTAACAAATTATGTGACAAGTTTTATAAAGTTAATTCTGATCTTTGTAGATACAAGCCAGATAATGTTTAACAAGTTAAAAATCAATATACAAAATAAATTTTTCTAACATTTTCCTTAAAAACCCATTAAAATGATATTTAACATTATTATGTGAATTTTTCTTGTAAACGTGGACGGGATTTGATAAATTATATTTTTAACAAGAGTTTACTGATCGTTACCATGAACTTTCTTTTGAATTCTCTTCCAAAGTTTCATTTTTATTAAATATTAACACAAAAAACTTTATTAAATATTTACAAAATTCTTTACAAAGATTTTATCCAGATGCTTTAATTATACCGTAAAGAAAAAGAGAATTCTTTTTTTTTATTTAGCATTACAAAATTCTTAATATAATTTCAAATCATTCTTATTTTTAAGATAAGAATAAAAATTACTAATTTGTATTCATTTATTGTATAATTACTTTGTTTTAATGTTTTATAATTGCATTCGGTGTTAAGAAATGATACTCATGGACAATTCATGGACACGTTATATCTCTTTTCTTATTATAGTTAGTTTTAAATTAAAGTATAAAATAAATTAGTTTATATCATAAAGATTTGATGATTTTAAATTTAAACAACTTTACTAGGCTTAATTTTGAGGGTATGGATGTGTTTTATAAAAAGTTGTAAATGCTAATAACGAGTGAAACCGTCATTAAGTCCGACCCCCTTGATCTTGACCTTTAATCACCAAAATTTAATAGCATTAATCCCCCTAATAAACAAATCTCCCTACAAAATTTCAGAAATTTTCGACAAAAAAGCATTGGAGTTATTAAACTTCAAACAGGGTGAACGAATTTGTACTTCCTCACACACACACACAAAAACACTAACATCCATACATACTGTACAGAAAAAAACCCGGAATTTTTTTGCATTTCTCGACAATTGAAGGTTCCCTGAGTCTAAAAACGTAAAAATTTGGTGTGGGGTCAATTTTTCAAAGATCGCCATAATTTTCCCTCTTATATATAACCGGGCCG